AGATGGGAAAATTAAGGAGTTTGAATGGAGAGGAAAAGATGGATGAAGATGTAGGTCTGTAGACCAGAATGACACGCTCCCTTGAAGCGCAGTTCACCCGCGGTACACTGGTAGTGAAGCTCAACGACTCTTTACCTTGCAGAGGATGAATCCGCGGCGGTCAAGAGGTCTACTGGCACGCTACCTTTCAGCGTCTCCTCAGGGCGGCTGCGACTCTTTAGAAGTTGTGAGAACTCGTTCCACAGAACAAACCTCCTCAGAAGTTATGAAGTTTTCACCGGGTGGAGTCACAGCGAGGCATCGTGGCTCCTACAGGAACTCCAGCCGAACTCCATCAGTACCAGTCAGTTCGCTCCAGAACTTCAGTTCATCCCAGAACTTCGGATCATGTCTGGAACTTCTTGTTCTCTCCAGCAACTGACTGGAACTAGGAAGTGTCGACATTTAAAGAGTTCTGTTTCTGGTTCATTTGGGAAGTCCTGATTGGCTGAACGAACCAACAGGGGTGTGGTTTTAGTGACGTAAGGGGTTACTACAAGTCAGAAAAACAACAAAGATGTTTTAGGAACAAACAGAGAAATGTTATGGCGAAGTGACAGAAAGCAGGTGCCAGCTCCCCTGTTTATGTCTGAGAGGTTTTAAAAACATGACAGTTCGTTCCAATAAACTTGTTTGCGACTGTCTCCGACTTTTGACCGACATCACAACTTGCTCATTTCAGACAGAAGATCATAAATGCATAATTACTTTGTACAGGCATTTTAACTTGATTTCTACTTTGAATGAGGATTAAAAATCATTTATACTGTTTCACAGTTGATTTAAAATGAGTAGTTCACTTCAACATTTAAAAATGATTTGAACTAAACACACTTTGATTTTCAAGATATTGTAAAATAGTAATGATAATAAAAGAGAGTGTTCTCTCAATTGATCTGTGCAGGACACACTTAGAAAGTCTCTGGATGAGCTTAATCTGTGTTTCTGGACTCAAATCAATGAAATAACAGTTCCTGTCCCAGGATCAGGTTTTGACCTGAGGCTTAGTTCACTACATTTGCTGTTGTTGTTTCTCGGTTTTGTCTTGTTTTTTTTTGTTTTTTCCGCAGGTCTAGAGGCAGACTTCAATGATGTTGATTGGTGTTCTCTTTATACCTCTCTCTCTCCTTAATTCTTATCTCCTTCTTTACCATTTCACCCTTCTCTCACTTTTCTGACAAAACAAACAAACCCAAAGCAAATTCTAATAAAATTTAATTTATATATCAAGTGGAGCATTAAGGCCAGCCATAATGCTCTGCTTGTGAAAGTAAATCTGTTGGGCATCACTTTGACACTCAGACAATAATTCTAAGTGTCACAATGCTGGACAGGACAAGGGGGAAAAAAAAAAAAACTTCTCTCATGGTTCGATTATGGGGGCTAATTGTCACACTATTAACTCCTGTAATTACACATCTGTCACAAAAAACACAAGAAAAGTCTGATAATAATGTTGTTACTGTTCTCGGGGATTCAGCCCAATCCTGTACCCCCCACTCATTACAGCACACCGAATGATTTTAAAAACATGTCAGGACTTTATTTTCTGCATGTAAACACACGTAGTCTTTTGAGACAACTTGATACTTTGAAAATTCTGGTCATTTCTTCTGGGACAGATGTAGTCGTCATTTATGAATCCTGGCTAAACAAATCTGTCTCGAATATTGACCTGGCAATTGATGGATTTAATATATGTCGCTGTGATCGTCAAAAAAGGGGTTGGGGTGGGGTCGCTATTTACATCAGCGATACCCTGGATTCTAGTGTTGTGTCAGCCAAAACAATCCCAAACCTATTTGAGGCCTTAGCTGTAAACATCACTTTGAATGGAGGCCAGCTCTTATCTGTAGTGGGTTGTTATTATCCCCCATCAATTCAGTTAAAATCAGTTTATTTATATAGCGCCAAATCACAACAAAGTCGTCTCAGGGCACTTTACAGGAACATTCACATACATAAAAGCCAATTAGTAAAGTTCTCTATCTAAGGAATCCAGCAGACAAGATGAATCTTGGCTTTGTTGCAGTCTCCCATCCTGAGCAAGCACAGTGGCAACAGTGGAAAGGAAAAACTCCCTTTTAAAAGGAAGAAACCTCCAGCAGAACCAGGCTCAGGACAAGCGGCCATCTGCTTTGACCGGCTGGTTGAGAGGACAGGAAGGAGACAGACGAACATAGAATGGTAGGTCCAGGTAGAGGTCCAGGTGTATCTGAAAGACAAAAAATCACGTTAAGGATAGAAAAAATAATTACAAATACAAAACAGGTTGATTAAAAATTGTGGTCAGTTTGTCCTCCAGCAGTCTAAGCCTATAGCAGCATAACTAAGGGACAGCTCAGGAAACCCAAGCTGACCCTAACTATAGGATTTAGCAAAAAGGAAAGTCTTAAGCCTAGTTTTAAAACTGGATAATGTGTCAGCCTCACGGACAGAGGTTGGAAGTTGGTTTCACAAGAGAGGAGCCTGATAACTGAAAGATCTGCCTCCCATTCTGTTTTTGTAAATTCTAGGAACCACAAGTAAACCTGCAGTCTGAGAGCGAAGTGCTCTGTTAGGAAAATATGGAACAATAAGATCTGTAATATAAGATGGAGCCAGGTTGTTGAGAGCTTTGTAGGTTAGAAGTAAGATTTTGAATTCAATTCTGGATTTGACAGGGAGCCAATGGAGAGAAACTAAAACTGGATAAATATGAGCTCTCCTACTAACTCTGGTTAAGACTCTGGCAGCAGCATTTTGGATCAACTGAAGACGTCTTAAAGAAGTATTTGGACACCCAGATAATAAACCATTGCAATAATCCAGTCTAGACATGACAAATGCATGGACCAGTTTTTCTGCATTATTTTTAGATAAGATGTTTCTAATTTTAGTGATATTACGCAGGTGGAAGAAGGCAGTTCTAGTAACGTTTTTAATGTGGGGGACAAAAGACATGTCCTGATCAAAAATAACACCAAGATTTTTAACATTAGAGCTGGAGGACAGATTAATGCCATCTAAGGAGGGAGAAAGACTGAAAAATTAATTCCTAAGGTGCTCAGGTCCAAAAACCAAAACCTCAGTCTTGTCTGTGTTCAAAAGAAGAAAATTAAGGGTCATCCAGGTTTTTATGTCTTTAAGACGTGCTTGTAGTCTAAGTAGCTGATATGATTCATTGGGTTTAATGGACAAATATAACTGTGTGTCATCAGCATAACAATGGAAATTTATCCCATGCTGTTTAATAACTTTACCTAATGGAAGCATATATAAAGTAAAGAGTATTGGCCCAAGCACTGAGCCCTGAGGAACTCCATGACTAACTTTGGTGTATGAAGAAGATTTATTATTTACATTTACAAACTGGAATCTATCAGATAGATATGATTTAAACCATTTTAGAGCTGTTTTGATAATCCCAATATCATATTCAAGCCTCTGTAGTAAAATATTGTGATCAACTGTATCAAGTGCAGCACTGAGGTCTAACAGGACCAGTATAGACACAAGTCCATTGTCTGAAAACTGTCCGAACATAAATCAGGCTCTAGTGAAATCAGCAACACCTGAAGCCGCCGTGTCCAATTGTCACCTTCTTCCATTGCTATTACCGTATTGCTAGTATCACCCAGCCCTCTGTGAATAACAAGTGGCCATCAGAGCATTAAGGATCGGTCGTTAGGCTGATGGTCCTCTTTGATCATTTGAACAGCTAGTTTTGTCTGTCACCAGCAAACTGGTTGACCGACTATGGGAAAGTGCTATTTATAACACTGAGTTTATTGTAGCTCCTCAGACTTCTTCAGACATCTTTTGGATAAAAGACGAAACGTTTCAACAATCTTAATTCTTATTTTTTTTTATCTGTCCAGAGGACCTGACAACTTTGTTAGATTTACTGTAAACTTCACATTTTTAAAACCAGTCATTATGAACTCCATACTACATTATAGATTTTACTAAAACTTCATCTGAAAATGGGAAAGCCTTGAGAAGTAACGCTTTAAAGAAATACAGTTTTTATGAATGCGTCCCGCTACATTTGATGTTTTTGTGACAACACTCTCACTGTCAGCTGTCTCAGGTGACCACGTGACCACGATGCGCGCATATTTACGCTCGTTGAAAGACAACTGCCCCGGGTTGGTCCAGCAAGCAGCCGTGGGCCGACCAGAATCATTCAGCAACTCTGATTGGTCCGTGATCTTGCAACACCGTCTCTGATTGGTGGATAGAAGCAAAGAGCTCTGCTCTTCCTTATCGTTCTTCCGGCTTACATGTTGGAAAAAAGAAAAGACGAATGGAAAAAATTGTAATCCACGGAACGACTATTGCCTAGTTATTTAGCGAAACGGTAATGTCTGCACACATACAGAGATATGTTTGTTTGTTTAGTCGTGATAAGTTTGCGCAGTTATGTTCCTCAGAAGGTTGAGAAGTCGAATTGAAAAGAAGGCGGCAGCAGGTTATCGACGTTAGCTTTCTGCTAGCACAGATAGCTTGCTAACACCAGGGTAGCCTTTTAGATTTAAGCCCACAAAACCAAAATTATAGATCTCAGGAAAGATTTTTTAATATTGCCGAGATCGCGTTTTGTAACTTAGGTGCGGGCAGTCAAAAAAACACTTTATACTACTCAGAACTTATTTTAAAAGCACATTTGATTGTTTTAGCATGTTGCTCCAACAAACCATGGCATGTCATATGTACAAGATGTTTTTTACACGTTAATGTACTTATTTTACTAACTCCATTCGCTTGTTTTGTCTGGTAGGATGGTATTTCGTAGATCTGCATTATTAGCTTGTGTCCCTCGGTCTCTGCACACAAACACCACCGACTCGATGGTTGTGGTCTTCAGACGTGTTTCATACTGCAGTCATTCACTCACTTAACCCCAGTGAGGGAGTTTCAGCATTATATGACACCGGACTTAAAGGTTGTTTTCTCTGTTTTGGGTCAGAAGTAGTAAAATGAGCTCTCAGCAGTTCCCCCGACACGGGCTGCCTGCTTCCAGCGGGGGGGCATCTCAGCTTCCTGCCGCTGCAAACCTAGCGCCTGTCAGCCAGCCGTCTCATGCTCCAGGTAACTCATCCCCACTGTACTCTCTTACATGATGCTGTATAGACATGATGGGCATGACAGTTAGTGTTGAATCCTGTTTTTCATTAGCTAGTGGAAATGGAGACAGCAGTCGGGATGCTGATCATGCTCAGCAGGACCACCCACCTTCCACGGGTGGGGCTACTCTGACTTTCAGAGATGACAAGCAGGAGACCATGGTGGTCAGACCTTACCCACAAGTCCAGACACACGGTCAGCCACAAACTGCTCCTCAAACGGTGTCCATCCAACCAGGGACACCTGTGCCTGTCCCAGCCCCGACTGTCCACCTTCCACAGGGCCAGCCTGCTGTCCTCACCGAGGGACAAGTGAAGGTGATAATAACTTTTCTGTTACAGTTTTAGAAGTTGTGCATGTGCATTTTTAGCTTGAACTTTTGCGTTACACTTTTGAATTCATCTGCTGACAGAGAAATAAAATTATTTGCAATTTGAATAATATATTATCTTTTAAGAGCTACACTATATGGAAAACTATGCAATTTTATTTGAGTATTTTCCAGGTCTGGATATATAAAAAAAAGGGAGTATGGAAAGACATGGGTGTTTCCAAACCTTATTGCATTTTCTAAAAAATATATATATAAAAAAATTGTGTATTTTAAGACGATGAAGAAAGTCAGTAAATTTAATCGAGGGGAAGCAGACCCTTTCCAAGTTTAATAATAATAATAATAATATAAGGAAACAACTAGTAAAACTGCACCTATGTACAAACACAGTTGAATACAGGGCATTTACAGATGTTTTGATGTCAAAATGGCACAAAAATTAACAGAAAAATTGGGGTCAGAATAATGTAGGATTTAAAAAAAAAAATGTGGAGAAACTCCAAAATGTTGATTTATTTGTCAAAAAACTGTTCCAAGTATAAATAGTTCAGTTTAAGTTATCGTGATCACTGCATGAATGAAGCCATGAATTTATTATTTTCATGCAGCAACAGTCCCTCACATTCTCACCCTGCTGTCATTTAAAAAGTTTTAGATAATTTATCAATTATCTTAAGCTGTAGATGGGTTTGATGTCAAATAGTTTAATGCTGAGTCGTTTAAAGTCGTTTTTTGTCATTTAAGACTTCTCAGTAGGAAAATTCACTGATATGCCCTTCCTTTGAGTCGGGTTTCTGGTTTGGAAAGTAAGAAGAACCTTAAATGCCAGCATGGCTTCTCTGTCTATAAAAGTGATAATGGCTACAACACGAAACGCTTTAACTGGAATTCTTTATTTTGTTAAATCAAAATGTAAAACGTCCATCACACCTCATTATATAAGTTTTTATATTATTTAGATGCACAAAGTACGACATAACTTTGTTTATCCACTTGTTTAGCATTAGCCTGATTAGTGAACAAATCCTGCTGTTGTTTTTACTTGAAACTGGATCATGTGTAGAGGAGCTTGAGGTCAGTGAAATGAACATAAACATTAATGTTGGTAAATCCCAGGATCACATTTGTTGCTGTTTTTATTCATTTGTAATAAATAAAAAGTTTTGATCAGTCCAAGCTTAGTTGTGTATCTCTAGCTCAAATCTGGAGCATCACTTGTGTTTTTCAACACTAAAACATATTGTGACAGTCAGGCTCGTCATTTTCAAGTTGCCTGAAGTTTATTTTGTGAGTAGCTCAAGTACAGATTAATCAAGTTGAAACCAGTTTTGCTCAGAACATTTCTGAATATTCACATTAAAAACCTTCAGAAGAATAAGTTTAACAATTTCATTGTTAATTTGTAAATTTTGTTGTGTCTCAGACACACAATTAAAATGAATTAAAAAAATAATTAAAATGCAATTTATTAAAATTCACAGAATTAAAAGTAAAAAAATCTACTTGTGATTAACAAAGGTGAATTTAGTTTTGGCATTTCACACTTTATGTGAATGGATTGATTTGGAAATTGATTTTAGTATTCCCTTTGATTTTTTTAAAGTTATTTATTTTTTCATTTAAGATGTTATCAGTTTTCACATGTTTTGTTTAGAAAAAAAGTTTCTCTAAAATTTGCCTTCAGTGTTATTAAACCTCTTATCGATTATAACTTTAATGTTTCTGTCTGCGTCTAACCTGTTTTAGAACTTTGATGGTATTTTTATATTTTCTTAGTTTTTTATATCCTGTGTGATTCCTTGTGTTTGATCTTTTGTACTGAAACTCTGGCACAACAATTTCCTGCTGGATCAATAAAGTTATATCTTATTTTATTTTATTTCTTATTAATTTTAATGCAAAATAGTTTCTTAAACAATTTATTTTCTTTGTAACTACTTTAGTAGTTGGCTCAGTTGGTAGAGCAGTTGCCTCTCAGCGAGAATGTTACTGGTTCAAATCCCGACCTGGGACCTTTCTGGGTGGAGTTTGCATGTTCTCTCCGTGCATGCGTGGGTTTTCTCCGGGTACTCCAGTTTCTTCCCACAGACCATCCATCCATCCATTATCTTTACCCGTTTATTCCATTTTGGGTCACGGGGGTCGCTGGTGCCCATGTCCAGCAATCACTGTGCGAGGGGCGGGGTACACCCTGGACAGGTCGCAAGTCCATCACAGGGCCACATAGAGACAAACAACCATGCACTCTCTCTCACTCACACCTAGGGACAATTTAGAGTTACTAATCAGCCTAACATGCATGTTTTTGGTCTGTGGGAGGAAACCGGAGTACCCGGAGAAAACCCACGCATGCACGGAGAGAACATGCAAACTCCACCCAGAAAGGCCCCTGGACCGGGGTTTGAACCAAGGACCTGCTCGCTGAGAGGCAGCAGCTCTACCAGTTGCGCCACCGTGCTGCCCCCTTCCCACAGACCAAGAACATGCATGTTAAACTGATTGGTAACTCTAAATTGTCCCTAGGTTTGAGTGAGAGAGTGAATGATTATTTCTCGTTTGTCTCTATGTGTCCCTGTGATGGACTGGAGAACTGTCCAGGATGTCCCCCACCTCTCGCACAGTGATTGCTGGATGTGGGCACCGGTGACTTGAAAAGGAAGAAGCAGCTAAAGATAATGGATGGATGGACTACGGTACTTTAGGAACCTAAAACTCGTCTCTTTTATATCTTAATTTAGGCTGTCCTGAAATCACCAATGCCAAGTCGTCTCATTGCCCCGGCACCAGCTTCCAACCAGGCTCATATACCCAAGGTGGTAGAAAGCACCATGCCCACCACCCCCTCCATCCCTGTGGCGACTATCAGTGGGCAGCAGGTAACCGCTTTGTATGTAGGCTTTTATTTTATGGTCTCTATTTTGTAGCTGTTTTGAACCTCTTCTGTTTGTATAATGTTTCAGGGTCACTCCAGCAACTTACACCACCTTATGCCCGCTAACATTCACATCATCAGAGGGCAAATCAGTGCCCCCACCGTCCCACCTCAGACCTTTACATCTCATTTGCCTCGAGGTATGAATTTTCTGATCAAATCAGTTTTACCAAGATTTGCATATGATTGTTCTTGGAAAAATAAAATGCATCCTACTCACATTCTGGACTTGTTGCAGTGCAGGTTGATAGTATTGTTGCGTACCCTGCAGGGGCCGTTGCAGCAGCTGCTATGTCCAGCTCCAAAACAGTCTTGCGACCAGCCACTGGAGCGAGTGCAGGCCCTGGCCCGCCCACGGTGCAGCACATAATTCACCAGACCATCCAGGTTTGTTTAAAATAGTTGGATGTAAAAAAAATAATTAAAAAGAAGTTTAACATGGGCTGGTCACGAAGCACTCTGTGTAACATTTTTATATTGTTCTGTGTGCAGTCCCGCCCTGCTGTAACGACCTCTACTGCTGTGCTCCCGACTGTGGTGGCCCCAATCTCAGCCACCAGAACTCAGTCCCCTGTTATCAGCCCGACTGTCACTCACTCTGAGGTCACGCATGGGTAAGTATTACCCGTGTACACATTTCTTTGTTCTATCTGAAAAAGGTGGATGAGTCATCATTAATGTGATGAGTGAAGGTTGTAGGTTGAACAGATGAACACAATCCAGTTGTTTTTAGCAGCACATGGCTGGTGGTTACCTTTGGTTGACTGTTTTGAGATGAACCAAAGAATGTATAGAAAGATGAATGACACTTGGGCCTGTTGCAATAACAAATTTTGTTGAGCAATTAATTGTCTCAGAGATTATTGCTATAAACGATATTATTATTTGAAATTTGACAATAATTAGTAATTACTGTCAAATTTAAGAAGAAATGTTGGTTAATTTGTTTTGCGTAAAGTACCGTTTTTGACCACTGGATGGTAGTATAAGACTGTTTGAACCAAAGGATGGATAGTGAGGGGGCGAGCAGCGTGTCTCTTGAAGAAAAATGGGAGGGAGGCTCCTTGACGTGACATGGGCTGTCTCGCCTTCCTTTTTTTTGGTTCTCAAAGTGGCAGACACTCGGTGTGGTTTGAGCTCTTTAGCATAGCATTTTTCACACAAAGTTTTTAACAAAAAATCGGTAAACAAGACACGAAGAAACGATAAAGCCGTTAAATAAAAATGAGGTTGATAATTTTTATTTATCATGCGATTAATTGATTTATTGTTTATCACGACAGGCCTAATGACACTTCTTTCTACTTCTGTTGTACAAAAGTAAAACCAAAATATCCCACTGGTCAAGATGTACCCTCTTCTTTCCCAATGATGGAGATAGGTTCCAGCTCCCTGGGACCCTGTGGGGCAGGGTAGGAAGAACTTAAAGCCTCACACCCTTAGTGCACAGAATCTAGTAAAAAAAAAATACACATCTAAATTGGGTCCTGTTGGCTTCATTTCCTAACAAATGAGACAAAGTGGGGTCGTAGTTGTATTATGAAATTCTTTATCAAAAGGGCTCGTGAACGGTCGGCACAGATATTCAGACCAGAGGGAAAAATAAAAGACAGAGGCTGTTACTGCTAGGAGTAATAAGTGTCCTTTATTAACCTGCCACAGAAAACAGCCAAGCAAAAAACAAGTACACTCGTACACTCTTAACACACAAATTGATATGAAATAACCTCACCGTGACACTGGCCGGGAAGTCGTTTTCGACCCAGGTAAAGAAGAATCACATCAAAATGGCGTATGGCACCAGCGCGTGCTGATCCACACCAGGACTTCCGACTCTCTGTGTTTGAAACATTTCTTATATACCTTTCCCTGATCGCGTGAGAGCAGATCAAAGCAAGTTTTGATGGTTGCCAGGAGGGCAGATTTAATTAAATCTGTTTTTCCTTCATCAAAGCAGTCTGTGCAACAGAGCGATGGTTTCATAAAAAACATGTCATTCAAAACCTGGGTCACTGTAACCTGAAGATTGGGCCCGATCTTCTGGCTAGAGCATCCCCAGAGAACTTTAATTACTCCAAAACACATCTGCAGCACAGGAATGACTGAATAAGCAGATAAGCTGCATCAAAAGTGAGTATAAGTGTGTTTAAATAAGTGTAATATAGGTATAGATTGACATAAAAGCATTAAAATAATCATTTCTATATCAGTAGTGTATTATTACATGTCAATAACCTGCACACAATCATGGTGTCAAAAGATTTTTTAACGTATCAAATAAATTATTATAACTAAGAGCCTTGAAAAAATTGATATTTGAAATAATCACATCAACAAGTTAAGAAAGTCAACACTTGGAAAAATAAGCATATTTAATTTTTGGTTTTTTTCCACGTCAGAAAAATGTCCCATTCAATCCCATTGAGTAAAACTTGAACTACAGCCAGGCTAAAAAATGTGCTAATTCTGTGTCCAGTTTGTCTAATATTTGGCACTATACATTTACATACAGTGATGCTTGAAAGTTTGCAAAGTCTTTTTAATTTTCTATATTTCTGCATAAATATGACCTAAAGCATCATCAGATTTTCACATAAGTTCTAAAAGTAGATGAAAAGAACCCACTTAAACAAATGAGACAAACATATTATACTTGGTCATTTATTTATTGAGTAAAATGATCCAATATTACATATCTGTGATGGTAAAAATATGTGAACCTCTAGTATTATCGGTTAATTTAAAGGTGAAATTAGAGTCAGGTGTTTTCAATCAGTGGATGATGATCAGGTGTGAGTGGACACCTTGTTTGATTTAAAGAACAGGGTCTATCAAAGTCTGATCTTCACAACATGTTTGTGGAAGTGGATCATGGAGGAACAAAGGAGATTTCTGAGGAGCTCAGAAAAACAGTTGTTGATGCTCATCAGGCTGGAAAAGGTTACAAAACATCTGTAAAGAGTTTGGACTCCACCAAACCACAGTCAGACAAACTGTGTACAAATTTGTGTTGCATTTGGGCCCCAAAAAATCTGACCCAGCCCGCAGTCATCATTTCCGAACCCCACCCGACCTGACGAATTAACAGTAATTACAGGTCTGGACCTGGAAAACCACCAACATTTTTATTTAGTTATTAACAGTCAGGGACGTGCGGCTTAATAAAAGGGCCAGAAGATCAGAGCTGAGGGAGTGTTTGTCCTTTCATGGCCATAAAAGAGCATTTAAACCCTGTTTCTGCCTACATTCTACATTACTCAGACACGAACTGCTGTGACACGTCTGCTTTGAGATCTCACCTGTTGGGATCGTCGGCCGCGCACGTCTGCTGAGTGCAGCGGCTGAATGAACATTCATTTGGGCTTTGATGGATCGCTGCCTGGCAGTATAGTCCCATCTGAAGATTAACTGAACTTTTTACTTCTTTCAAGACCGGTCAGCTTGTGGTGAAATGGCCGCGTGCGACTAGTGAAAGTATGGCAGGCCATGTTGCCATATAATTGGATCGCAGCTGATCCACTGAACCGATCAAAAGCCCGACACCGACCCGGCCTGCCCATCCAGCACAATGTCATGGCCCGAACTGCCCCGAATTAGGGTCGGGTGGGGCTGGGCTTAGGGCTCAGGTTAGAAATTATAGCGCTAGTACAAATGGAGGAAATTCAGGACCATTGTTCCCCTCCCCAGGAGTGGTGGACCAAGAGATCACTTCAAGAACAAGGTGTGTAATAGTCAGTGGGGTCACAAAGGAGCCCAGGGTAACTTCTAACACCTGAAGGTCTCTCTCACATTGACTGATGTTGATGTTCATGAGTCCACCATCAAGAGAACACTGAACAACAATGGTTCATGGCAGGTTGAAGGAGAAAGACACTGCTCTCCAACAAGAACATGGCTGCTCGTCTGCAGTTTGATAAAGATCATGTGGACAAACCAGAAGACTGTTGGAAGAAAGTTTTGTGGACAGATGAGACCAAAATAGAACTTTTTGGTTTAATTGAAAAGAGTTATGTTTTAGGGGTGCGAATCTCTGTGTCTGGTGATTCGATTCGATTCTGATTTTTGGTGTCATGGTACGATTTAAAATCGATTTTTCGATTCAGAAATGATTTTTCTATTGAAATGGTCATACATTTTGTTTCATTTATGTAGCTGACAAGCTGAAAAGATTAAACAATGTAAACCAATAGACCATCCGTTTTCTTCCGCTTATCCTGGGTCGGGTCACGGGGGTAGCAGCTTAAGTAGGGAGGCCCAGACTTCCCTCTCCCCAGCCACTTGGGCCAGCTCCTCTGGGGAAATCCCGAGGCGTTCCCAGGCCAGCCGAGAAACATAGTCCCTCCAGCGTGTCCTGGGTCTTCCTCTGGGTCTCCTCCCGGTGGGACGTGTCCGGAACACCTCATCAGGGAGGCGTCCAGGAGGCATCCTAACCAGATGCCCGAGCCACCTCAACTGGCTCCTCTCGACGTGGAGAAGCAGCGGCTCTACTCTGAGTCCCTCCCGGATGATCGAGCTTCTCACCCTATCTCTAAGGGAGAGCCCAGACACCCTGCGGAGAAAACTCATTTCGGCCGCTTTTATCCGAGATCTCGTTCTTTCGGTCACAACCCAAAGCTCGTGACCATAGATGAGGGTAGGAACGTAGATCGATCGGTAAATTGAGAGCGTCGCCTTTTGACTCAGCTCTCTCTTCACCACGACAGACCTGTACAGCGCCCGCTTCATTGCAGACACTGTACCTATCCGCCTATCGATCTCGCGCTCCATTTTTCCCTCATTCGTGAACAAGACCCCAAGATACTTGAACTCCTCCACTTGGGGCAGGACTTTCTCCCTGACCCGGAGAGGGCACTCTACCCTTTTCCGGCTCAAGACCATGGCCTCGGATTTGGAGGAACTGATCTTCATCCCGGCTGTGTCGCACTAGGTTGCTAACCGCTCCAGCAAAAGCTTTTGATCACGATCTTATGAAGCCAACAGGACTACATCATCTGCAAAAAGCAGAGACGCAATCCTAAGGCCACCAAAACGGATCCCCTCAACACCTTGGCTGGGCCTAGAAATTCTGTCCATAAAAGTTATGAACGGAATCGGTGACAAAGGACAACCTTGGCGGAGTCCAGGTCTCATCAGGAACGAGCCCGACTTACTGCCGGCAATGCAGACCAGGCTCTGACACCGGTCATACAGGGACCTAACAGCCCGTATCAAAGGGCCCGGTACCCCATACTCCCAGAGTACCCCCCACAGGGTTCCCCGAGAGACGCGGTCGAACGCCTTCTCCAAGTCCACAAAGCACATGAAGGCTGGTCGGGCAAACTCCCACGCACCCTCCAGGACCCTGCTGAGGGTGTAGAGCTGGTCCAGTGTTCCACGACCAGGACGAAAACTGCACTGCTCCTCCTGAATCTAAGGTTCGACTATCCCAACGGACCCTCCTCTCCACAGCCACCATATAGAGCTTACCAGGGAGGCTTAAGAGCGTGATCCCCCTGTAGTTGGAACACACTCTACGGTCCCCCTTTTTGAATAGGGGTACCACCACTCCGGTCGGCCAATCAAGGGGAACTTCCCCCGATGTCCACGCAATATTGCAGAGTCGTGTAAGCCAACA